TGCGTTGGGATAAAATGAGAACCTCTAACGCCTTCCTGCAAGTTAGTTCGGCAAAAATTGTGAGTAAGTTCGATTTGCTCGGCATTTCTTATAGGACAATACCTATCATCTCTACTAGGCATTTGATTTGCAAACATTGTACTAAAGCTTTATTAAATATTTAAAGTGCATTGAAATGTTAATATCGGGGTAAAGTATACTCTAAATAAACCAAATACACATATATTACACAATATATATTACTACTACCTAAGTACATACGAGTGAATCCATTTCGGCATGTACATATAACTAGAAAGAGCGATTAGAGAATTTCAAAGAGTATTTAGTGTGGTTTTCCGGACAAGTTTCCTTACTTGCTTGTGGTATGAAATTTTACAAATAATAAATCACAAAACATTTTCTGAGTTTTATATATGTATGTGCATCCATATGAAAATTGACACAAAGTAAAAGCCGTATATGTATGCCCTGCAGGAAAATATTACCAACTGATGAAAAATCACCCACTTGTGGTTCGAATTATTGCGGGACTTCTATAAAATATATAACTTGTAGTTAAGTACAAAAAGCTAACTTGGAACTAATTGAAAAGTAATGCAGGAGTAACGCCGACGTAATCGGGAGATTATTTTCTTTAAATAAGTTTCTATTTAAATATCCTCATACAAATTTTACCTTGAATATACTTTCCTTCTGCACTTCACAAATACTTTTTCGAATTGAGGACAAATAAAAGGAAGATCGCAATTTTATATTATCAGAATATGTTTACATACTATATATGTAATGTAATAAATGAAGTAAAAAATTAAAAATTAAAAAAAAATTAATGTTTTTTCTTATTGATATTTTATGTTCAAAAGTAGATATTTGCAAGTCTGTTGACATCTAATCCAGAGGTAACATTCCCTTGACTATTTCGCAGCCATGGCCACAGAAATATAGTTAGCTTTCCTCAAGGAAAATATACAGCTAATAGTGACTTTTAGTGCCTTCCTTATCAACTTCAAGTGAACTTATAGTTAGATACATTTCCCCCAGGGTACTTGTACATATGTACATCCATACACATTCGGACACATTAGCGAAAGCAACTCGGGTGTATGGGTGTATGCAGCATCGCAAATTCATTCCTTTGATGTTGGCTGAAATTACTCCAAGTGTGAAGATGCTTACGCTTATAGTACATACATATGTATGAAGAAGTATTAAATTTCGTTTGCAAATGCAAGTGCTGCCAGAAGATTACAATAAATATAAAAAACATTAATTGTCGTACAAATGCACAAAGAATTCAAAAAAGTTAACGCAAAATAATGTTACTTAAAAAAGGTTCAAGAAGAGAACAAAGAATAGACTCTATTCAATAGAGGCAAGTATAAGTTGATGCCAACTTCGTGTCATGTTTTAGATAGCTTTTTGAAGTAAGATTTTTAATGATGCGTCCGTGCGTCGCTCTGAAATACATAGTCCAATGGCACTCAACATGAAGAAAAATTTATAACAGATTACAAACCGCCTAAAACCAAAAAAAAAAACGATTTATCAGTGGGAAGTAACTCCCCTGCAAACCAAAGTTCCCGAAATCTTAACGAAATATTTAGGAGCATCTGATTTCTGTAACGATTTTTTTCCGAATCTTCAAAGAAAATTATATGAAGTGGTTGACACGAACTCGTAAAGAAATTTCTGTACGAAAAATAAAGAAAATTCTGAAAAAAGTCTGCAAGAAATTCTTCACATAGCAGCATTATTTTCATTTCTTTACCGATTTTCTTCCGAAATTTCGTAAAAGAATGGAAGTGTGCGTAATTTATTTCATTTTAGAAAATTCGGAAAAAAATCGGATGGGATCTTTCCGAATTCTTTAAAAATTCTTTACGATTCAGAATGCTCTGAAAAAATGGTTTGCAGGGTCAGATGCTAAGTTTTCACCAAATAAAAAATGTGCCAATTTTACAATTTCAAATGTGGCAATGTCAATGACGTAGTTATATGTATACGTAGATATGTGTATAAGTATACATACATATATATATAATTGGATCCAATGGATACCAGTATTTTACGCCAACGGATTGAATATCTAATATGAAACATTTCTGCGGTTTCTGTTGTCAGCCGACATGACGCGGTGGAATGAGTTGAGGTTTAACTAGAAATTTAGTTCACAAAGTCCTATGAAAGTGAAATGCAAACAGAATGCCGTACATTGTACATACATATTTACATATGTGTATGTATGTAAATATACATATTTCAGCAATTTTAGGAACATAAATTCATCAAACATGCATATGTGTGTATGAGTGGCAAAACGCATTGCAGTAGTTGATTACAAATAAGTGCAATTTAATGTTCATATCGGTGGGGTGCAACAACACCATACGCAATAAGGTCATAATGGCTTTATTTCGCTTGGCGATTGGAAATACAACCATAATTTCGATACGGCATTATTTCTGAGCTATGTTTATGGGGTTGCCATATTAAAACAAAAAATTAAATTCAACTTAATTCATCAGCTAATTAATATATGTACCGCAATGTCAGCCGAAGAATATTTAAGAAGATTTTAGTGTGAAACTAACTTGAAAAGGGTTACCCATTGTTTGAGAAGTCGAATGTTATTAAAATGTATACACAAGTTATTTGAAATATGAAAACACAAGGGTCAAGCGAAAGAGTGTTCAAAAATTGTAAGTTTGAACAATTAGAATTCTTGAAGAGGATTGCCACGTGTTTAAAAAGTGACATGCAAATTATTTAATAAATTAGATGAATTATTAACAGATAAGGTATCAATCGAAATGGGGTTGAAAACATTGCCGGGGAAAAGTGGGATACAGTGATCGTACGATTTTTCTTATAATATATTATATAGTTATTATAGTTTCTTGTTTTCGTAAAGCCTAAGAACATCCTTTGGTCTAGTGAACTGTTTTAAGGGGAAATCATTACAGACTTTTCTTATTGATTGGAAGCACACCATTCGTTTCGTTTCTGTCAGTTACTACAATTGGAAATGCCAGGTGAAGCCAACTCCTTCTCGACCTGACAAAGCCAGCGGAGCCGTTGTACTTTAATTCGCCGCACTATGTCTCCTACATCTCATCGTTCAATCGGCTGTGCGCAAAGGGTCGTAAGTCTTCCGCAAAGTAATTCACTCGAAAACTCCAAGATCCACCTTCTCAGATATTTTCATTGTCCATGCTTCTGCGCCTTACACCAGCACGGGCATGATGAGTGACTTATAGAGTGTGATCTTTATTTGACGAGGCAGGTCTTTACATCTCAATTGCTTACTCAGTCCAAGGTAGCAGTTGTTGGCAAGAGTGAGTCTCCGTTGGATTTCAAGATTGACATTTGTGTTGGTGTTAATGCCGGTTCCTAAATAAATGAAGCCGTCTTTTTTTTTTTAAGTTGTAACTATCAACAGTGACGTGGATGCCAAGACGATTATGCTCTGACTGAGATAGGTACTCCGTTTTGTGTTCGTTCACTACCAGACACATTCGCTTTGTAATTACATAATATTAAAGAAATCACACAAAAGGGAGTCACCTTGTCTGAAATCCCAACTCAATTCTGAGGCAGCTGGATATATATGTACTATATGGTGAGTGGCGGTCTTTTTCTCGAGACTCTTTTCCAAGATTTCGCGGATGGTTAATAGCTGGTCAATTTTGGACCTGCCAGGTCTTAAGCCACACTGATAAGGCCCAATCGGTTGGTTGACGGTGGGCTTCATGTTGTCGCACAATGCGTTCCAAGAGACCTTGTAACCTAGCTTATAAGGCTCATCCCGCAGTAGTTGGTGCGTATGGCTGGTATGTGAGTTCGGTAGAGCACACTTAAATTTTGTCATATCCACGATTTTGCATGCAGAAAAGCATTTTTAAAATACTTACTATTCGCCTTTGAAATGACATTTGGGTCTAAGTGCCAAAACAAAGCTAAGCAATTCCGTTGTTGTGTCACAGCCTAGCAACTTTCCTCGAAACAAGTTTGAATGACACATATTCCGCCACAGCCGCCGCTAGTCGTACAAACTCTTTCGCGTGAACTCGATTACCACAGTTCTACATCGGATAGAATTTGAAGCTGTTGCAACCACTTTTCCTGCAATTATTTGCAATTTGACTGGCTGCAGCCACAGCATCACTCTCCACTTTACTCCTTACAGCTACCGAAATACAACACGGTGAAAATGGGCAGCGCGAATTGAATGCACTGAAGCTGCACAACATTTTGCTTGCATGCACCACTCAAGGCATCATAATATGTAGCATCTAGCAAGCAATGAATTGCCAAAGTAAAGTTGGCAGCTAATAATCTGCAAGACGCTGTTAAATGGGCAATGCAAACGGTCGCGATGCGGTGGTGCACTCGTAGCGTTGACGTGTTGGGTGGCTGGCTGAAAGTGATGTTGATCGTGGCAATGCAGGCATAATACGAGTAGAGTAGGGAGACGCTGTGGTGGTTGGCGTCGGCGCTAATGTGATGAATGCGCGTGATAGCAAATGTGATTTACTTAATATACTATGTGTACGTACGTACATACGAACATACGTATTGTTGCATGCTACATTTATACTTAATACTTGCAAATTGTAGACGTGTTAACTGATATGCTTGCAACAAATGCAACTGCAACTGTAACAGCAACAGCAACGCCACTAGCAAGAATGCCAAGGCGGTGTAAATGAATATTAAAATTGCAGAAATAATATATGAAAAATGCGAAGATTGTAATAAAATAAAAATGGTAACAAAATTATTGTCTAATTAATATACAAATGCACGTATATGCATGCACGATATACATATGTATATGCATGAATATGTGGCCTTGATAGCCGACAAAGACAATAAAACTGAGTTGCATGCACAGCCGAGTGTTTAGTCTACTTCGCATTGTGCCACAAAAGACGTGCGCGCTCGCGTTCTATCGCCACAAATTCATCAAACCGATAAATATTGCAAAAAAATATATATATCTACGAATAATTGCCTCAAAAAAGAGTTGTGTACAAACCGTAAATCGAGAGTGTTTGAGAGCCAACGTGGCAAACGTGCAGCCGCGCAGTCCAATGTCAAGGACATTCGCGTTGCATTAGCGGCAACGAAATACATAGTAGATATACATATGTATTTACAACCCTCTTCCAAACGAAAAGAAACACATTTACCCGCGTGTGCATTCGGTAATCCTTAAGTCAAAAAGTGATAGTCGCAAAGTACAACGTTGGCGCAATGGCGCACAGGAATAATGACGCGATAGCGTCCCTTATATTCTACTTGTGGCTTCTATTTTCGTTACAAATATCCGCCGTACGTCCGGCTATACATTCACGTGCGTCATCGGTAACGAGCAGCAGCAGCAACGCCATAGATGAGAGCAATGTGGAAATTGACGATACCGATTCTGTCGCCACTAACGAGGCCAATATTAAAAAACATCAGCAGCAACATCGCCACCAGAAACCCGCTGAGTTTGTCCGAAGAGACTTTTCGGAAAAAATGTCATGGCAATGTGCTAATAATGCCAGCTGCCTTCATACGCTAGCAAACGATATGCTGCAGGCGTACAAGCGTGGCGAAACCATTAGCTTGGGATTCATGGATTTGGCAAAGCTGCCACCGCTGATGGAGAAGGACAAAGACAAGTTGAATGCGGCAGAGACCGGTCGCGGCATTTCCAGTTTCGTTGACTTCATCAGTGGAAATGCAATTCGTATTCCGGTGGGGCCGATGGTGTTCAGCGTACAACGGGCAGAGGATGATGGAAATTACATCGAAATTGCGTTACTGAAGAAGGCGAGCGGCAATCAAGGTAGCGTCACATAGCACGTGGGCTGGGGTTTCTAAATATTGTCATATATTTAAGTGCGATAAGTTCAAGAAAAGATAAGATGAAAAATTTTTAAAATTGGTAACAATTTTACTTAAAGCATAAAATGAGGGGAAAATAATATTAAAGATTGCATTCAATCTTAATACCATAAAATCCGGAAATCACATTAAATTCAAATACGGCAAATACAAACGCCGAACAGTTGGAGAAGCGTGCAGGCGCCCCCTGGAAGGAAGTGTTCGTGTGTTTCTTCCATGAAAAAAAATCTTTTAAAACCCAAAACAGTTGGCCAATATTTTTGTGTGGCACCACTGGAAGACCTGAGGTCTGCGAAAAGAATTAAGTCTCCTTTTAGTTGCCTACATAAAGGAGTTATATCGCAGAAACTTGTCTTATATCCGAACAATCAGTTTTATGGGAGCTATATGTTATAGTGGTCCGATTTTTCCGATTCCGACAATGAATTAATACATTATGAAAACAGACCCACCTCCCAAATCTCAGTCAGCTATCTGACTGAAGGACTAGGTTGCGTTCAACTAGACAGACAGACGGGCATGGCTAAAGTGACTTAGCTGGACGTTCAGGTCATTGAAGTATACATTTTCATAGATATATCTATTCTTCTCCTGGTACTTACAAACATCGAACCAAAGTTATAATACTATTTAATGTTCAAAGGTATTATTAGGGTGGGAAATTTGTAAACAGACAATTTTAGAATACGCCAAGCCAGACACAGAGAAAGTGAAAATTGATTTGCGGTACTCAGGGGATTGTAGAATAGCCGCTATCTAGAAGCAGCTAGGGTAAGACTGTTTTTTCCCCATCTACCCGATTGGAACTTTTTTTTATTTTACATAGGCCTAAGGCTTTTTTTGTTAAAAATTCCATTTTCATAAAACCGTATTTTTTTAACCCTTCGCTCTTATTCCCTAGAAGAGTTTTGGGTTCGGCGACTTAGCTGCCATTTTTATGGAAAAGGGGACAAAGGCATCCATTCTTGTGGAAGTTAATGGGCTGAGATACATACATACGTATCTATGTGCAACATTAGATTTATTTTAATTTAGCTAGAAGAAGGGCCGTTTTCTCGACTGTTTACTTATAAAAGTTGACGGCCGGTATGCTAAGAATTTCATTAGATCTCTCTTCTGATTGAAGAACGTCATAACCGAAAAATTCAACTTCTTATCTTATCTTAATCTTTATCTCGATCTTCATCTAGACCTTCGTCTTCATCTTCACTTACATTTTCGTCTTCATCTACATATACATACAACTGCATCTTTGTCTTTATATTTTTATCGTTATCTTCATCTTCGCCAAAATACTATTAGAATTGGGATATTCAGGCATTAATAGGAAATGCATTGTCCCGGTGCGAAATTTTATCAACAGCATTTCACTCTTTACCAACCATAAGCAACGTCTGTTGTTGATAAAATTCTGCATTTCCACATTTCGCACTGTTGCAATTGCATTTCGCATTAACACTCCTAACATGAAAGCCAAAAAATCGATTCCTGTACTCTGTAAAAATATCGAAGAAAAGTATCGGTGCTACAAATGTATCGGAGAGAAGTACTCGATACTTGCTCGTGTCGAACTCATTATATTTCGTAGAAATGATTATATAAATTCATGCATTTTTTGTATATACAGTGCCGGAAAAAAGTATTGGCACAGAGAATTTTTCGCAATATATGCAAAGTTTTTTATTCTAATTTATTTTCAACATTTTTTAATTAAAATATAGTTCGTACTTCACCAAAAAACATAAAAACAAAGTCTCTAAACTTTGTGCAAAACTCAGGAAAATTCAATAAATTTGCATACTAATTTGCAACTTCTTACTCAGATTTTTTAGAGAAATTCTAAGTATGTAGTTTTATAGCCCAGCTAATTTTAGTATAACAAAGTGCAAGTTTGAAGTATCTAAAAAATTGCGTTGATTTTTGGACGAAAATAAATTAGAATAAAAAACTGTTCAGATATTGCGAAAAATTCTCTGTGCCAATACTTTTGTCCGGCACTGTATTTATTAAAAAAGTTTGATAAGGTTAATAAGAACGTTTCATTTTCTGTCCCCGCAGCAATGCTATGTCATGGTGAGAAAAAAGAAGCAATTCCAACAGTGTTGCCGTTGAGAATTTTCATAAAGTCGCTAAAAAGTGGTCATTGAAAAAAAGGTTCACCATATTGTTTTTCAAGGAGAAGAGTTGTATTTCCTTTAAAAAGTTTTACGTGATGCATTTTTTAGTACCTACAGGAGGAAATACTTTTTGATAGCAATGTTCTGTTAACGTTTCCAAAAAAAAAAATCTCCCAAAAGGGGCAAAAGTCGCACATAATTTTGGTAAAGCGTCAAAAAATCAGAAATTTCAAAAAGTCGTGTCAAAGGGTATTGGCGCTTAAAAAAGGTCAAATTGCCCCTTTAGTCGCACAACGGCAACACTGAATTCGAGTACGTTCCTACCGAAATTTGCCAAAAGAAATAGCCATAAGTTTGATCGAGTAAAAGTAGTCGTAAATCTTGCAAAACCAGAAAATTTTATTAGTACGAAAACGCAGCATTGACAGTTTCTACATTTCTTTAGCCAACTTCACTTTTTAACGCGCTGTCGTTGTGCGATTCTCCAACTGCTCAGCATTACCGCCTTGTTATTTTATTTGCTACACACAAGTTAAGGTGGTATATAACGTGTTGCCAAGAGCACTATAGCATGTTTCATATATTTATTGTCACAACCAAATAGCCACAACAACGATAGCCACCTAAGTACTTGCGGCAAGGATTCGAGAACAAAAAGTACTCAGTACTTGAAGAAAGTGTCGAACATTTACTCGTGGTTACTTGCATCGAAACAACAAAACAAACAAAACAATTTTATTATTTATCATAACGCATACTAAAACATTTCCATAATTAAAATAGTATAAAGCTTATTCTATTTCCATATTTTTATTTAATCTTTTCGCGGATAGCATTTGCATTTGAATGGGTAGTATTCTGTTTTGAGCAAGGCGTCACGCTAATTCTCACTGCACGCTGGTCCGAATTGAAAATGTTTTAGCATAAAATACATAATTAGTACATGGTATATATGTACGCAGTGGCGGATTTGAATATTTGTCACCCCTAGGGAATTCAGAATTTGCCGTCCTTTTTTCAATAAGAAAAATATTTTGAGGTAAAAGTACCAGTTTTGGAACGATTAGCAGTAAATATAATATTAAAATTTGTGTTATTTACTATACTTTTATTACAATTTTTAAGATGATAAAGTGGTATTTGCCTCGAGTAAAGGTTTTCAACTTTTAAAGAAAGTCCTCATCAACAAAGTTTTTCACTTGATAAGTTTTAATCTCAAAAATACTAAATTAGTATTTTTAAATATTACTATTTAATATAATATCAAAAATGTCTAACAGTGTTGTCCTATTTTCTGATTGCATAATTAAATCTCAAATTTAAGTCTTAAAATGTACAAACAGAATTTGTACTTTCAGTGTAGCTAACTTGAAAAAAAATTTTTTTTTCAACTCAAATTTTGCGGCCTTAAATTTTTCCGCCCTAGGCACCGCCACTATGTATGTATGTACGTATGAAAGCTACAGCTATTTTTGAAGCGATATGCAACACCACTCACATCTATCGCCTATACAATCCCAATAGCAATTAGCTTGGTATTATTATTACTAGTTACTATAGCGGATGCACAGCCTGCGATTCATGAGGCGTGAGAAATCACAAATTTTTTTCAAATGGTACCCTAACTTGCAGTGTCCTGTCAGGTAGCCTGTAAGAGTTCTAAGGCCCTAAGGAGTGTGCATTCAAGAAGAGCTTTAGCTACCATATGCAAAATAAATAAAAGCAATAAAGTGTATAAAAGAGTCAATAAATTAGCTGAGCGCGTGTGTAAGGTAGCATTTATGTTAGAGCTGCCCATAAAATAGTTGTCAAGGCGCGTTTCCAACTTAAATGGCAAATGTGAAGAGAAGTGAAAATTTATGAGGCAATCTGCTGCTGAATGCTAGTGAATAATGATTCTCAAACATGCTAAGCACATTCATACCTTCCCGAAATGAGCACATTCATACAAATAAGCACACTTGCAAGTACTTACAAATGAATTAATCTTGAGTGTTTTTTTTTTTGTATTAAAGGGTCATTCGTTTTTGCGTTGGATGAATTAATGGAAAATTACCCGGTATTATTATCGTGAGCATGTTTTAAGTGTTTAGATTAATGGTTTGAATTTGTTTTAAAGACATATTCAAATCGTACGTGTCTTAATTCAACGTTTTAGGCACCAGCGGCAAAGCAGTTTAAACCCGGATAGGTTACAATAGCTCAATGACAATGAGCGCGGGACTAAACATTCAATGCCGACTTTGCCCAATTCGACATTGATTTTTTAGGTCTCGAAACCGTTTATACAGACTCTTTGCTATCTCTAAATAAATTTCGCATGGCTCTCAAATTAGTTTTAAATAATAAATGTACTTCCATATTTTTTTCTCGAAAATTTAACTTTCGCCATTCTAAAAGATCTGGCATCTTTTAGTTATTCCATTTTGCTTTGCTGTTCGATTTTGAGTTCATATGACGCAGAGGAAGATTTTTTAAATTGTTGGAATTGCGCCATTCAGACCATTTTGAAATTAGTACCGTTGGTCCTGTGCCCAATGATGCATAAATGAAACCACTCGAGTATACCAAAATTTCCTCATTAGGCCTTAAAGTTTGCCATCAAATATAAAATTGTTTTTAGCCATGCAGAAATCTGAGTTTTTACAACTTTGAATTAGCAACAAATTTTCACAAATTTCATTTAAGTAAACCGTGACTTAGCTATCGAAACACCTTTCACACATACACATATGTGTGTGTGGATAGGTGAATGGATGTGAGGATTGCTTATGTTTTTTTTTTGCATCTTAACTTTTTTGGTTATGATTATTGCTCACAACGCACAATGGGATTAAAGTGGCAAAAAATAGAAAAAAATAGCCAACTTATAAGCCAATTAGGCAGTATTCCGCACTTATAAGGAAGGACATACATACACATCGCTCATTTACGTCAATAGTGTCACAATCCAAAAAATTCAAAAATTTGGTTTAGTATTTTTCCATGTTCTCAAAAATTTCATAGCTATATCGATTACCAGTATCTCTGTAGAACAAAATATATACATATTCATTTTTACTATTAGTAGCAGATCCGACGACCCATCTGTTTAATGAATGAAATCTACTTTGTGTGAAATTAAACATGTTAGGAAATATTTTACGAGTGGTTTGGCTAAAAAATCCTAGCCAGCACATTTTTAATTAAATATTCAATTTTTATTTTTTTTGCACCCATTTTTTAATGAACAAATTACATATGTATATGCGAATCGGAAGCATAAAGCCTATAACTGGAATGTGTTAAACAGATGAGTGAAAATTACTACTATTACTTACCTGTTCAAACCTGCCAACCTGATAGGTAGGCCGGGAAAAAAATAGACAACCCAACGTTTTGGATCAAAACTCTGACTCCAATTAAATACACTGGATCAATTGCTACGTAGAATCGCTCGTATTTTTTGAAATATCTTGAGTTAAACAACGAACACACGCCTACCTATAACCATAAAACGGTAGTTTTCAGATATACGAAACTGCGATAATTTAGTAGCTACTAAAGATTATTCACTCAAGACTGATATTTACAATGATCTCTTGGGGGAAAATCAGAATATTATAAATTTTTTCGAAAATGGGAGTAGCCATGCCCACTTAGGATTAAATGTGTTTATCTCGGTAACTGCTGCACCAATTTCTTCCAACTTGGCACCATAGTTAGTCCCGGTAAAATATACCAAGCAGCTGAAAATACAACATACAAACATACTGCTTATACATGAGCTCACATCCTATGTAACGGTAATTAAGAGAAATACGAAATCTTCTGAAAATCGGTAGTAAATGGTAGTTTTCGGAAACTTCGCCCGAACTTAGACTTCCTTACTTATTCTACACTAAAATTGATAAAAATGCACTTACAGTCTACAGGATTTCAAAGAAGATTAAATAGTTTGTCATCGCTGTCTGCAGGGTATTTCCTGACAGCTTAAGAATATATGGGGACGTCCCACTGTGCAAAAAGATAAACGCATGGAGAGTAGGAGGTGTAGGAGCATTATTAGCAGACAGTGTTAAGGCGTTAGTTAGTTATGTCAAAGTTTATTTTTATCATGCACTCGCATAATGTAAATACACACAAACTTTGGTTAAAGATAAATACAATTACAATGTGCGCATGCATATATGTAGATATGTATAGATGTAAAAGTCGTAACAACTTCGCAGCACAATCTTTTTGTTTGCTTAATGACGCCTAAATTAGTCTCATAATAGTATATAATAATAATGGGCCATATTCACAGTCAAAAAAAAATTTCAATGAAGTGTCAATGAAGCTGCAACTAGTGTATGCACTGCATAGTTCCTAGATGGGGTTGTTCTTCGGTTTTGAAAATCAACTCACAAGAATTCTTTAAATAAGCGAAAGCAATCGATATTTTCTACCATGGATATTTCTAAAGCAACATCAACTCGGCGGGCTCAGTTTAAAAAATCAATTTCGTTCTGAAAAAATGTGTTTGATAAATTTTAAAAACTTAGTTGAGAAAACAGCACATATGGCACCTAAAAGAAAGCCTAACTACGTCACACAGTGGGGAAAAAAAGGTTGCTGTGGGCAAATGAATTTTGAGAGCCCAAATATGAACCGATTTCAAGTTTTATTTCTTTGAATAAGAGATAAGTAAACTTCGCGTCGATCTGTCCATGGCGATTTTTTTTATTTAAGTTTAAGAATGAAGAAACAAAATTTTTGCGTTTGAATGATTTCAATTTTTTGGAAAATACTTGAAATTAATTTCAAATGCCTGGAATTGTTTGAAAAATTCTTCATAAACATTTTTCTATAGGATACATTTAATTAAAAAATGTATTTCATCTGTTATTTATACTATTATATTTTTTGAGAGCCGTTCTTTTTTTTTTGGTTTTTTTCTGTTCGAAAAACTCGAGAACAGCTATACCGATATTTTTCAAATTTTAGACATCGACTCCAGACTATCCAAGGATGATAATAGATGAAAAGCAATTTCGAAATATTAAGGGTGCGTGGCACTTCCCATACAAACTGAAGTTTTAACACAACATATCTCTGGAAGTATTCATTGTAGAGTCGGAGTTATTGAAAAAGGGCGCATGGCACCTCCCATACAAACTGAATATCTCGCACTACATATACATTCTAATGTGAGAAATTGAGTTTGTATGGATAGTTTGAATTATTTGTATTTATCTATGTGTGAATTCTAAATTGTAACCAAATCAATTTTCGCATCTTACAGGTCGTGGAGGTGGTCTCGGTGGAGGTGGAATGGGTGGCGGTGGCCTCGGCGGAGGTGGAGGAGGAGGAGGAGAAGGTCTACTTAGCGGCTTAGCTAGCGGTTCGGGTATGATGGGAGGCAGTGGGGGAGGTGGCGGACTCATGGGTGGAGGGGGTGGAGGCAATGGCGGCGGTGGTGGTCATCGGGGGCGTTATCGTAAGCAGAAACAGGATAAGAAGCAATTCCAAATGTATATACCAATGTATTTGGCGGCAACAACCTTTGGCTGGACTATGGTTGTAGCAAAGGCGGTTGGGTTGTTGACGCTTAAAGCATTAGCGGTATCGAAATTGGCATTTATAGTAGCGGCAATGGTGATAGTGAAAAAGCTGATGGATAATGCTTCGGAAAAGTGAGTATTTTGTAAATATGTATTCTAGTAAAATCTCACAAGTGTATTAACTCAAAATTTGCTATGAGTCAGATATAACAAAAAAATTTCTAATCTCAAACCTAACTTCAACCTCGAACTTATTGTTGATGGTAATCCTAATGTAAAGCTTAATCCAATGCTAAGTTTTAATTTCAACCTCAATCTGAAAGTAAATCTAAAACTTAACCTTAATCTAAAACTTAATTTAATTTTAAAGCTTATGTTAATGTTAATGTTAATG